ATATATAAAGAACTCAAAACAATCAGTCCCCCCAAATATAAAGACCCGATCCAAAAATGGGCATCCGAAATGAACAGACATTTCTCATACAAAGAAGTAAAAGCAGCAAGAAAATATATGAAAAAATGTTCCACATCACTGGTCATTCGAGAGATGCAGATGAAAACAACACTGAGATTCCACCTCACCCCACAAAGAATGGCTGCTATCAAGAAATCACACAATAACAAATGTTGGCGGGGCTGTGGGGAGAAAGGAACTCTCCTCCATTGCTGGTGGGAGTGCAGACTAGTGCAACCACTATGGAAATCAATATGGAGATACCTCAAAGAGCTTGGACTGGAGGTTCCATTTGACCCAGCCATCCCTCTGCTGGGTATCCTTCCAAGAGAACTAAAAGAATCACATCACAGAGAAGTATGTGCACCCATGTTTATAGCGGCACAGTTTGTAATAGCTAAATCTTGGAAACAACCTATTTGCCCATCTGTTGGAAACATGTCTCTATTTTTGAAGAAGGAGAAGTTTCCAGAAAGATATCTAGGCTGGGCATGGTTGGGTGCCTCTAAGTCCAGCACTTAGGAAACTGAAGCAGGAGGATTGCTGTGAGTTGGATGCCAGGCTGGACTAATAGCGGCACAGTTTGTAATAGCTAAATCTTGGAAACAACCTATTTGCCCATCTGTTGGAAACATGTCTCTATTTTTGAAGAAGGAGAAGTTTCCAGAAAGATATCTAGGCTGGGCATGGTTGGGTGCCTCTAAGTCCAGCACTTAGGAAACTGAAGCAGGAGGATTGCTGTGAGTTGGATGCCAGGCTGGACTAAATAGTCTCAACTACGTAGTGACTCTGTCTCTAAAAAAAAAAAAAAAAAAAAAAAAAAAAAAGGATACTTGATATGGATCAGTGATGGTGAAACCACTGCAGCCCCAGCCAGCTGTTATCATTGAAAGTTCTAAAAGGTTCACCCTCAGTGGGACAGATCATCAATAAAAGGTTTCTTGGAATATAATATATATCAGAAGTCACATAATTGTAGACTACGCAGTATGAATGCTTTAGCCCCCAAATTGCCTCAAAAATTTGAGCTAAGATTTACATTGGAGAATTCAATCTAATATTTTTATCCCCTATCGAGCAATGGAAATACCAGATTACTTTGGCAATATTTCCAAACCATAGTCTGTAGAGGGGAATGGACCTCTAGTTTACCACAGTGGCATCTCCTACATCACCAAGACCACTTTCCTTAAATATGCCACGAGTCTAAGTCCTAGTGTCAGACCAACCAATTCAAAACAATAGCCAATTAAAGACCCCCCCAAAAAGAGAGGAAGATTTATTTAGATTTTGAGCATTTACAAAATCAAGAATCCTATAGGGTATTTTAATAATAAAATCATCTAACAGTGGAACAATTCAGACATGCAATCTTCTCTTTCTTGATTTCATTTTTAAACTTGATTACACTGGATCAAACAAAAAATGAAACAAATTCAGGATGACAATTATTTCCTTTGAATAGTAAGCTATTTGTTTTGACATCTAGTAAATACAAGATGTATGGTCCAGTAAAATAGCCTAAAAATGTATAAATATATCATGTGTTTGATCTGTGGCTTGGTGTAAGTACCACCTTATAATGTATCTTTCAATATAGCAAGTATAATTTATTTTGCTTACATAGATTGAAAGTCCTGACACGCTTTCAATATCCAAACTGTTCTAGATTAAGAAATATAAACCCAGAAATCTCCCTTATCTAGGAAAAGGTGCCACTTACCTTAGCTATCTGTACACACCAGTTCAGCAGCAGCTGTGACCCAATGTTATCCTTGTGTTCATGGACATAATCCAGGAGGCAGCCATGGGGCATGAGCTGGGTAACCAGCTGGATGGTTGGGCTCAGACACACACCCAGTAAGCGAACTAGATGCGGATGGTCCATACTTGCCATGATTAGAGCTTCCTGTAAGAGAAAATATAATACCATCATTTCGGCTCAAACTTCCTTATATTTATAGTTGCTTTCATTGTACTAATAGCCCTGATAGTGATTTTGAAAATGTACTCAATGAAATTAAAGAGACACTATTGTAACTATCCTTAAAATGATTTGATCCAATGAAATCAAATGAAAAGCAAGGTCTACACCCTTATTAAATAGAAGCAATTATAGAATCACTGCCTATAGAATTAACACCAATATATTTTATTTTACAGTATGAACAATATTATATTTTATTTGCCAAGTATAATGAAATGAATCTCAACTTGTACCATGGATTTTAACTTTTGATCTTGGTTATAGAGTACAATAGTCTATACAAATGAAGATATTTGTAACTAGAGTATGGTGACCCAAATTCACTTCATCCATTATTAATGTAGGTTGAAAAGCATCTGAAAGTTAAATGTATAAATTGTAAAAATATAAACAATTATGTGCAATATATCATATGTTAATTTATATAGAATACGTCTTTTTGTAAAATATTTTGCCTCAGAATTTAATCTTACTCAAATTTACTTCATTTTCAAAATTGCAAGCGATATTTTATTCATAGATTCATAAATTTTGAGAGCTAGGTTAGAGTCCAAAATTTTTTCTACTCCAGTTTCCTGATTTCATAGTGAGAGAATTGAGTTCAAATATCTTTATTATTATTTTAAGGAGGCCACTGTTTAATGATAATAAAAAGTGGAACCATAAAGTCCTATGAAAACAATAGTAAAATTTGTCTTTCATAAAGCCACACAGGATCACCTATGTAATATTACTGGCAATAATATTTAACATGAATCTACTCATAAGAAATAAATCAAATAAATCCACATTTTAGGACATTCTTAAATGAGACTGGCCTGCATTCACTGAAAATATAAATATTGCAAGAGTGTTAAAAGATGGGATGCCCAAATTAAAATTCATTATAGAATTAAGGGCATTTGAGTCTTTGGCTCCTAGATTGGGGGTAAAAACCCCACATGGTACAGAATTCTATTGGGACACCTAAGGACAGATGCATAGGGAACATAGATTGTGTAATACTAAAATGATATAAAATATTTTAAAATGATAAAGATATTACAGATATGCAAGATAACATTCTCTGATCTTTAGAGATTCTGAAATATTTATTAATTATTTTGTACTGGCAAATTACTTTCAAACAGTTTTGCCAGTGAAGAGAAAATGGAGATGTACATACGTATATATCTATGTTTGTATATGTGCATGCAAATACATGCATATGGAACACATGTGACAATTTGTTACCAGCTTATATGAGGGCACACAATGTTCACTGTGTTTTTCTTGAACATTTCCCTAGCTTTGAAATTTTTCAGGGCCAAAAGGTAAGAACAGAAAGCTATATTGAATTTCTGCTTAAGTTAGCTGGCACATTGAGCACTGTACACAAATTATTTCCATCCCCTCTCAATTCCACTATATTGACAACAAAGGAATTAATAAAAAGCAATCATAGAAAGAGGTAATAAAATAGCATAGTAAAAAAGAAAGTGGCTTACTCATGGTAATGACCCAGAAAACAATAAAATATCTAAAAAGCCCCACTTAGCAGGAGGAGGAAATTTGAGAAGCAATCCAACAGTATACATCCTCAAAGTCTCAAGGAGTGTTTGCACACAAACTTCTGAATATGGGAGGAGTGGAATGATTTCAGAAGAACTGGTGCAAAGTATATTTAGGAAATTCACATATTGCAGATATCCATCTGTATCTTTGGAGAGTCCAAGGTGAAAATATCATGGACTATGGCTATCAGGAACACTGGAGAGAGACATATTCATATAGCGAACTTATGTATAATAGAAAACTACCTTCTCATTCCTTTTCCCAAGTGGGTCTGTGCCATCTAAATTCTAATTATTTTTGATAATTCTTAAAATGTTACACTCATCGACATTTTAACCAAGTGAGTGGACATGACAGACATATTTGGACATACAAAAATCTTTAAAAAAAAAACAAACTTCCTTGCTTTCTTTCTATGCTGGATATGTTCATTGAAAAAAAGGAAGGAAAGATCTAAAAGACTGTAATGGAGAAAATCAAGATCCCACATGAGATATAGAAATCCAAAATGACAGTAAAGGAATTTTCCAGACTAAAAACGCTACAACAGTTGGAGACAGCAACCAAACCAAGTTGGAGCGGGACATAAGCCTCTGGAGAAAGTAATCCAAGAAGACAGAATTAATACAATACCTAAGAAGTTGAAATTAAAAGGATATTTATTTTGCAGCAGGTGGTGAAGGCAAAACTAGCGACAGAGTCTTAGAAAACTAAGCTGAAGTAGAAGAAAGAAATTAGTTTGAGGTAAAACAATGATTTACACCAGAAAAGAAAGCATCCATTATATAGTACAGTGGAAAATAGCTACACAATCATAACAATGCAAACATCAAATATTGATATAAGCAGAAATTATAGAACTATCCTGGAAGATAAGGGGAAGGGAAGGTTATAATGGTAAGGAGTTAAAAGTACATCGCCATGAGAAACTAGTATATGTGCATAAAACCGAAAAAATAAGAGTTGACAATCTAAGCATTTTATATGGATGCATGGACTTACACAACAGAAACAATTTCCATAATGTTGAAAGCACTCTGGGCTAGGAAAGTGGAAAATAGGGACAGCAAAAGACGAGAAGAGCATCCAGAGCAGTTTTTCACCGATAGCCATAAAAGTATTCGACTTTTATTATTATTACCTTAAAGCTGTTCGAGAGGATGGTATCTATTTTTAACCTCTGCTACTGTTTTAGCAGTGCCTAAAGGTTATCAGTCATAGCACTTGGGTGTGGATGAAGGAGGACACAGATTTCCAGGATCCAGCCAGGGCTTCGTGTGAGATCTCATTTTACTTTTGGAGTAAGGAAAAAGAGGGCAGTGTTGGCGTAGAAAGGAGTGACACAAGGCCAAGAAGAAAAAGCTGGTAAACTGGCATCACTGTGTTTCAAAGGACTTTTGTTTCTGAGCCTCTGTGGCAGAAGCCGAAACCACTAATTTGGAGATGGTGTCCCAGTCATACAGGTCCATAGGAGTCCTTTCCCTAGCTGCCTGGGGGAACAAGCATGCCACAGCCCTTCCGGTGTCCCCTTGTCAAGGTGAAAACACTTTGGTGTCATTTACTATTTCAGGAAACATTTGAAATAAAGCAAAACCATGCAGTAATAAGGAGTGTATAGATATGAATGTCAGCAATATTATCCAAATTAAATTACCTCTTATTTAATCAAGCATTAAATACTTCTTTGTATGCAAAGTGTATGGAAGTTTCTTTTTACTAAATTATAATACACACGTATAAAATATCCACATATACACCAACAAATGAACAAAGTATCTCGTCAGATTAAATATTATCAAGTGTTGTTGGCTATCTGATAACATATTCACTGTTACGTAACTAAATTAAGTTCGCACAGACTGCGTTCTATGTCTCTCTCGGTGGCTCCCGGGTTTTCATGTGCGCAGGATCATTCAGGTTTATCCTTACAAGTGCAGTTTTCCACACAAAGCCGTCGGGTCTGGAAATGGAGCTTAGGAATCTGCACATGCAGTCAGACTCAGGGAGTGGGGAGCTACCGTGGGAAAGGGAAACTTTAAGAAATTTGGCACATCTCGACCAAATGTGTCGCTCTGTACTCCACTGCCAAACAACAGGAAACAGCTTTGGGAGCCACTGTTGAACAGTCTTTCCATCTCCTGGAAGTAGCAGAACGAGGTGGACAGTCTCCGCTGTGAAACGCAGCTACCGATGCTCATGAGATAACTGCCCAGCCAGTAGCAGGGTCACTTCTCAGACTTAGAATTTCTGAATCGGAGTGCAGAGCTACTTATGACATTGCAGTTTTCACCTCCGCTCCATCGGCCCTTCCTTCACACTGCTGAGGTTTGTCTTGTTATTGTGATAGTTTCAAACACAGCACATTAGCCATACCTGAATGAACTGGGTTAAATTACACTTCAGTGTCTGAACAGCAACTAAAATCAAACAAATTTGTGCTTATAAACTATCATCCCTTACAATATACTTTCGGAAAAAAACAAAAACAAAAACCAAGCATCTTTCTGTGATTTACCGAGAGTAGTGTTTTGTACAGGCCATTTACTCAGGTAAAGAAAATAATGACATTTAAGGTAGAAATAAGATTCTGAGGCTATTTCAGCCTTTTTTATGAGGGTAACTCATATAAAGTGATTGTTTTTACCTTCTACAATACAAAGAAAAATGATAATCCCATTCTAAATATGCATTTGAAAAGTTTACATTAGAGGACTTTTCATGTGAAAAGTAAAAGTTCGGTTAAAAAAAAAAAATCTATTAGTAAGTCCTGGCAAAAAAGCTGGGTTTGTATTAAGGAAAATTGCTCATCACACTACAAAGAGTATTTGAAACTAAATTGCAGAGTATTTGCATAATAGTTCTCTTTTTCAGAGAGAGAAAAGATGTACAAGACACTAATTGTAGGTTTTATTTTTTCATAAAGGAAATAGCAGATGGCTTTTGGGAGGATAAGGGAATAGATAAAGAGAAAGGAATGTGGACTCATTTAGAGCGATGAGTGGGATGGAAAGGGAGAAAAATCCCAATATTTTAATCATGGAGTGTTTGGTTTCAATAAATTACTCTGTTAAAATTAATAGTGTCTTCTGTTGCTTATCTCTGTGTGGGGCCTACAGAAGCAATTTTTGATTTTCATTGAAATGTCACAAAAGGCCAACAGAATAAGTATAACTTGAGAGGTAGGTACATTATCTATGTTTCCAGGAATAAAATTATTCCTCTCTGTTTTTCTTTTGTTTTAAATTTTTTTTTGCAGGTGAATTAAAGCATTTTCACATTGGAGACATGAGAAGAATGTAACAGGTGCTACACTGAAAATTCTAAAACAACAACATTTTTCTTTATAATGAGGTCTGGTTTGAATAAGG